GGACAAGAAAAATATGGGAAGGTTTCAACAGTGACTTGAAACTACTAGGCAACAAATCGTATGGACGTAGCAGGTTACAAGAAAAGACCCCCAATAGTTTTCCCAGTATTTTCCCACCCTTTCTGTAAGCTGAGAACACTTCTCTGAACTGTGTTTATGGGTCCCATTCACTTGTTTATACCAGCTTCTGGAAAATAAAGTTTGTCTTCTAGAATTTTTCATATCCTATTGCAAGTTGGAAACAGAGCACGGCATCCTACAAAGAACTTACACACTTTGATATATCATCCTAGATGCATGCTGGATTAAATTTTTGTGTATTAATTCAGTCAAGAATTCAGATAATGTATTACAGAAAAAGGTAGACTTTATTTTTTCGTGCCAATAACCAAATAAATGGTTCAATACTGTTTTTACTATCTTCTCTCATAAACTGAAATTCTAGCTTCACTGATATCACCAAAAAAATAAATTTTACCTAGATTTAATCTCTAGTTATTATTTAAACCACAAATTCATGAACAAAAGTTAATCCTTGTCCTAAAGAATGTTTTGAAAATGTTGTGAGGTTTTTTGTCTAGAATGAATTTAAGCAACTTGATGAAATACATGAACATCACTTGTCATTCATTTAATCCTGATTCAAACATCCTAATGAGGACAAAAGAAAATAAGGTGTCACAAGTATTTGAAAAAACATATAGCAGCAAAAATTGTACAGTGATACAGCATGCATGCTCCTTAGTTGTGCTGCACAAGGTAGTACGATCCTACTCTTTACTCTTTGGAGTGATGATGACCAAGTGGATGAAAACACAGAGAAAGTATTCCTCCCTTGCCTAATTCCATATGGTCAAGGGAGCTATTATAAGAGTACCAGCCTATTGTCAAATTGTTACCTTGAACTAAGGTGTCGTGGTTTGGGCCTGGTCGTCAACCACCACAGCTGGTCACCCTCCCTTCACCCTCCCCACCTGGGAATGGGGGAGGGAATTAGAGGGGTGAAGGGAGACTCGCAGGCTGAGATAAGAATAGTTTAATAATGCCAATAAAACGAGAACAATTATGATGATTGGGAAAAAAAAAAAATATATATATATATATATAAACAAGCAATGTACAGCGTAATTGCTCACCACCCGCTAACCAATATCCAGCCCGTTCCCGGCTAGTGACCCCAAGATACCAAGATCCTGCAATTGCAATCCTGGAAGCAAGAGAGAACCTTCCCAACCACCCCTCCTTTATATAGTGAGCATGACGTTCCATGATATGGAATATTTCATTGGACAATTAGGGTCAGGTGCTCTGTCCATGCTCCCTCCCTGCTCCCTGTGCCCTTGCACACGGGCAGGACACGGGGAGTCAGAGAGTCCTTGAAGTCTCGGTAGCAGCTGAAAACACCAGTGTGCTATCAGCATTCTTCTCATACCAAACGCAAAGCTAAATCCAAAACACAGCACTCATCTAGTCCCTGAAAAGGAATATTGACTTTATTTCAGCCCAAACCAAGACATAAGGTTTAGTCTAGTAGCTAGTATATACTGACCTCAGGCACCAGGCTGCACCAGTACTAACATGTTCAGCAACATGCAATCCCCAGTCCTGCAATGGCTATAAAAACTATTAGCAGAACCAATAATACTATTTGAAAAGCAGCACTGTTCTCAAGCTGTTTAGAAAAAAATCCATCCTGAATAAGCCATGCACGACAAAGAGATATCTGGATTTAGCAATGCACAAGAGATATAAAGGAGGGAAGAATACACTCCATATATTGATGAATATCACTGTTAAAGTAAAACAGTAATTATTTTTTTCTTCTGACTTTTGATGTTTTGAAGTCTCTGTGTCATAAAGTGCAGAGCATATGTTCAAATGTGCATGAAAAAACCCAAACCAAACCATAAATTAAACACACCCAAATCTCATCCATCAGTTTTGCCACCTTTCAAATCAGTATATGTATTAAAGTCCATTACACACAAGTAATCTTGGGAAATACCTAGCCATGTAACATTTTTCTTTTTCTAATATCACAATTCATGGTATTTCATTATTTATATAAAAATAATTTATTTACAATTTTTGTTGATCCTTGAGATTTTCTTTCATATTCCATCCACTTGGAGCATACAAAATCCAAAAATCCTGCTTTGTTCACTGAATTATTAAATATCGCTTCTCAAATTATTTTTTTTTATAAAAACTTTTTTTTTTTAATTTTATGATCCTTATGTGTTAAAAACTATCTTAGTTTTTTTTTGAGGAAGTCAGCTTTTCAAGTTGTCTCAAAATGGTTATCCTTCTAAAAACAGAATGTAAAATCCTTGGTTTGCGTGTGGAACTCTGGCAACCAGGTGCCAAACTTTCTCCACAACACCCAGCACAAAAAATGAATGGAGCTGTGCCTTCAGCTCCTCAGAGTTACTAGAGGTGATTTTCATGCCTAGACTGCTGATTTGTATGCACAATTGTAGCAAAAATATGCAAAGCTAAAGCATGCATTTACATTTAGAACCAAAGCCTGCCTTTTCAGAAGTCTTTGCCTTGGCATTTCACTACTTGATGTGTACACAGACATGTCATCTGAGCATAGAAATGCACACAACTTTAAAATGGTAGGCATGTGTTTGGAGGTTGAGATGTTTCACAGTGCCTCAGCTGATTTCAGGGGCATGAAAAGAAGAGAGATAATTGCACTTGGACGTTTACAGAACATCACATGCTGGGTAGTAAAAGGTTTAGGCAGATTCTAGGCTACAGACTTAATTTCTTCCCTGATTCCTTACTAACAAGCACACATTATCATGCAGAGATGACCTCTTCCCAGCTCCAGAGTGATCTGGCAGGTAAGGCTGGGTGGTTGAAGCCCACTTAACCTGCATACACTGTCATTATGGCCTTCTTTGTACTTGTTCTCCAGAGAAGAACAAGGTGCAGTTGCCTGTTAGCCACTGTGTTTGAGCTCTTCACTTACTTCCTTCCCTTCTAGCCAGTGTTCTCTGCAGGTTTGACAGGGAGAATCTTTCAGCCTTGGGCAAGGCATGAAGTTCCCTGGTGGGCAAATGAAGAGCTAAGGGCATCCAGAGGTTTGAGAGGTGCCCCTCAGCATGGGGACTCCCCTTTGGGTATGACAGAGGAAAGAAAGTCGATAATAGTAGCAAAATGATAGAAAAGTTCGAATGCTGCAGAGAAAAAAAGTCTTGAGTCCTTGTGTCAGAATATAGCAGCATCTAGGTTTAGAAATGATTGCCAAATTGGAGCATTTAATCAGGTGAAAATTTTGTAACCCTTTTAATGTGGTACAACAACTATCTCATAGAGCACTTCTCAAGATAAATGTTCAGTACTGAAAAGTTCAGTTCAGCTCCCTAGATAAAGTGATTACAGAAATAAAAAATGACAATTATTTGGTCCACTGTACAACACTGGAATAAGAATATTCCAGGAACAAATACCATGACTACAGGAGCAGACTAAAATTAAAATGAACTCATCAGTTCTCAAATTAGAAGCTGAAGCTCCTGACTAATTCAGCATTGTTCACTGTGGCACTGATAAATGCTCTCTCTCTAGGATAGGTATATTTCTTCCAGATCTTTGCTCTAAACCCTTAAATGAGCAGACTGAAGGAGCTACACTGAATTTGGCTGTTGAACAGAGAGAAAACTAACTTTTCATCACTTGAATTTCAAATGTGCTAAGCAGAAATTAGCAGTTTGCAAGAAGCTGAAGATAGATGTCTTTGCCTTGAAAAAAGATGATTCATATTACACATATTAGAGCCTGATCTTCCAAGGGTGCTGAACATCCTTCATTTTCTGTGACATCTAAGGATGTCTACCGGCTCTCAGCAGGTGGTCAGGGCATCAGAGTATTAGCCCATTGTTTTGCAACATCGTGCAGTATTAACTTCTTTCAAAGGAGAAATGTTACTGAAGTTTTATATTGTTTTAGAAAGGAATTGATGTATCAGAATGGGGGGGGGGGGGGGGGGGGGGGGGGGAAATACTCCACAGCTCATAAATTAAATTTACAGAGATTAAATAGTATATAGGGAAGCAAAATCTGCTATGGAATTGTATTAGCTACAAGCATAGTTTCTTGTTCAGGAACATACTTATACATATTCTAAAATACCAAATCAGCAGCACGTTTTAGGGGGCATTAAAATGTTGAACTGAGGGGCATAGATTCAGTATTGTCATCATCAAGTATTCACACATTAAGAGTATGAAATTTTATGAGAAAAGATTCTTTGGTCTAAAGTGTTGGTTATTTTTCTGTTCTCTTCAAAACTTATTTTTTTTTTGTGAAATATTTCAGAACACTTATTTTGTAAAAGAATAAGCTTTAAAACATGTTGCTGAGGTTTAAAATTTTTATATAAACATGATTTTTTGATTTTGAAATGTTAGTTTTCTAACTGTACATATAGAATGCTAAGGAGAAAAAATATTTCTTTAAATGTTTATAACTTTTGAAATATTTTAAATAATATCTTGTAAAACAACTATTCTTGTTGATACATAATTTTAATGTTAACAATGTGTGCCTTTTGAATAGAAAGATATTAACCAAAGACAATTAGGTTTGTTTTTTGTTTTTTTTTTTAATTACAGTTGGGATCCATTTTGCACTTGGAGCTGGCATTTTAACTGTAAGATATATTTTCAAATTTTCTCATTAATACAAGGACAAATGAGACTAAATCTTGAATTCCCATACAGACCTGTATGAGAAGGAGCTTTGAAAAAACACTCATCAAAAGAATACAGCTATTGACAAAAAGCCCACCAGAATTTTCAGTATAATTCATTAAAAAGCTCAAAATCACACACACACACACACACACACACAGACTGGAGTCAAGATGAAATACGCCAATGGAAAATTTTACTCCAGATATGTCTCATGGAAATAAAAGCTTGTACTCTCACTACCTGCCCCCATTTTGCACAGATCCAAACAGAATCAGTGAGAACAATCAGACTTACCTTCTGAATTGTTATGATTCCCTCCTGGGTGTCTTTGTCGACAGAAATTTTGAATACTCCCAAACCATCACCATCCACGATCTTATACTCCATTTCAGCATTAGGTCCCACATCTGCATCTGCAGCTTTTATTCTGGCCACCACAGAAGCCACTGGCAAAGACTCTGGGACATTATACTGATATGATCCTGTGAAATTTGAAAATGTAATTAATTCAGAGTCTTGTGGGACAGTAGGCTAAAAAAAAAAAAAAAAAAAAACCCAAAACAAATTTAGACACCTTAAAATCTACCTTCCTTTAAATCATGCACTTGAATATTTACTCAGCCTAACAGAATATATTCAGTTGAAAATAGAATTGTCCTTTTTTGCTAGGTTTTCCTTGTGATGGATACTACTTTAAATACTATGGACATAATTTATTCCTACGATGAGAGAAGTACGAGGCAAAGTTGTAAAAACATAATTCAAAACTTAAGTGCAAATCATGAGGCGAATGTCTGCTACAGAGTTCCAATGTAGAAAATATTTTACTTTGGTTTTCACAAAAGAGAAAAAGAGCAATAATATCTATATAAACTCTTATTCTTTTATAGTTGCGTATCTTGATTAGGCAGTTTGCAATGACTAGGACTAGAAACAGATTTATATTCATTTTTTTAACAGTGAGTGCACCATCTGCATTCTTGAAAAATCCAGCTTTTTCATTTAAGTAGAAAATGATATATATGCTATCAAAATGGTATTTGAGTGCACCAGTAACACCCTAACCTTCAAAAATAACTTCAGTTATTCTATTATTTATTCAAGCTGTTGGTGGCTTTAAATAACAGGAAATCTATTATGTACAGCTCTATTTTTTATATCATTGGAGGTGAAGCTGGAGTGGACATGAATATATTCTTCACATTATTTTAATTCTATTTAGCAAGGACCTCTTTGTTTTGTTTTGTTTTTAAAGAAAACAAATCATTCCAGACAGAATGCTATTAATAATCCGAGCTCTTCAGGTTTGAGTGTGCATGTGTGTGATCCATATTTTGGTTAGGGTGATATCCACCTTGGTCAAAGAAAGTAAGGGAGGATGACTTTCCAGCTCATCTGTGATTAACACAAGAAACACTGTATGCACAAGAGAAATCCTGCTAAAATGTCAAAGGAATATGAAGGATTAAGAGTCAAGTTAAAGAACTATGCATCCTGAAGTCCAACTGGCAAGAGATAAATATCTATTAATGTGTAACATTTTTGTCTTTTTATTCAACGAGAGGAATTAAAATACATTAATAAATGCACCTGCTCTACATCATTTCAATTGATCTGAAATACATTAGGTGAAGAACAAAGATTCTTCCAATGTAATAATTAATAATGATAATGATAATGATAATGATAATGATAATGATAATGATAATGATAATGATAATAATATAATAATAATAATAATAATAATAATAATAATAATAATAATAATAATAATAATAATAATAATAATAATAATGATGATGATGATGAAAAACTTGTTGTCAGTGATTCTCAAATAAATTAAGATGGAAGCTGAGCACTTTTATTCTTTGTTTAGAAATAGCATGATATGTAAACAAAATAACAATGTTTAGAAATAATATTACAAGTCATATTTTTACAAAGTAACTTACTTCGTGGAAAGCGGGGTGGGTTGTCATTAACATCAGTCAGAGTGACAGTTACAGATGTAGTCCCTGATAATCCACCATTCTGCCCAACCATGTCCTTTGCTTGAATAACTAGTAGGTATTGGTCCTTGGCTTCTCTATCCATATTCGGAAGGGCAGTCTTGATAATACCTACAGTAAGACGAGATAGGTCACTGGTTGTACAAGCAAATACGTTACCATGAAAGCCGAGTTTGCCTTTAACAGGTAGTAGCAGATCAGTGATTGCAACAAGAGTGGAAAGAATTAACTTTAACACCAATATCTCAGGTTTGACTAGGAGCTGAACTGACATACCACAAGCTTATTTTCAGTAGTCACCAAAACCCACCAATTTTTATTTAGTGATAGATTCTTTGGGTAATGCCATCCATGACTGTTTTTTCCGAATATCTTATTTCTGAACTACAGACTTCAAATGTCTGGTGAAACACTCCCTTTTCTGGAAGATATCATCTCCCGTGTTTGATTTCCCATTCTTTTAAAGTTAAGAACAGGATATTCTGCATTCATTTTTAAGATTCCAAGGTCAAGATTAATTTCATAATGTCTTGAATAGTCATTCAACACATTAACTCTTAATAATACTGATATCATGCCACACTCCTCATACATATGAAATTACTTTATTTTATCATGTATTTGCTTTAAAAATACCCAATTGTAAAGCATTAGCATTTTTGATTTCTTAATGGAAATACTGTAATATCTGAAGTAGTTTTTGTTATATTCATATGAAGGTCTATATACAATTTCTAATTAACTGATTTGAAATGAAAAATACAAGAAAATTCCATGTTTCATCCTTTCAATTCTGTTGATATAGATCAGAAAATAAATATGCCTTCTTAAAATGTGATGACTTTATGAATATTTCATGCTCAGTACACAGTACAGCCGCTAACTCTGATTTCCAGAGAGGCAGCCATTTACTCCACCAGCACATAGTGTCAGCAGCATAGGAAACATAAACAAATTAAATAAAGGAGAGACACTTTGGGACACATATCTCTTCATCTGATATTTGTTGAATGTTTAGTTAGAGTTTTATTTCTTTCCTCCTTTATGAATGCAGGACTTGCCATTAATCATCTGTGGATTGAAACATTTATTTCACAAACAGACTCTCTAGCACTATTTCACCCAACTTACAAGACGTGTTAAAATACAATTTATATAAAATCTCATAATTTTATTGTTTCTACATTGCTTTTTCTGGCCTGCTTGTTTTTCTATCATAATTAAATTGCCAGGCAGCATTGACCAATAATTTAGAAGCTAATTATCATGCACACAGGAAATCTGAGTATCACATCAAAGTGAAAATGTATGCAAATATTTCAGTCTGAATCCTTAAAGATTTTGATTTAGCAGAAACTACTATATTATTGTTCAAGGGCTGTCTGCAGTCATTATGACAATATACATTGCACATACATATACATGAAGAGAGAGAGAGACAGAAGGAAAATCACTATAAAGTGTACTCATAGTGGGGAGAAAGAAAGTGCTATATATCCCTGCTGAGGAAGGATCTGTTCCAATATGAAGATAATTATAGTACTTATTTTGGCAAATTTAGATGTTGTTAGAGTGTGACCTTTCAATCATAGCATTAGGATTCATGTCTGATTAAACATCACAGATAGTTTATGATAAATAGGGCAAATAGTTTGATTCTCTTTTGCCTCAACTTGTCCATCTCTAAATTAATATTTTAACTCTTCTCCATGTTTATGTAAGTGAAGGCTCAGGCACCAAACTAAACTGAGCGGACCAAGAACTTACTCTTCTGCTGTCTAAAATGATAGAGTAGAATGGGTATTGTTTATTAAATTTACAGAGAATTGAAAGTTGCATCTTGTTGTAGCTTAAAATTTTCACAAAATTTCATGAAAATAGTAAAAAAAAGGCTCCTCCAGTAATTTGTTTTGAAAATGGCAGCAAAATATTATAATAGATAAGGATAGAAAACACAATCCTTTCTTCTTCAAACTAATAAAGAAAAGATACATTTTCCACAAAATAACTTCAGTTTAAAAAGTAGAATGGAAGGTGATCATGCTGTAAATCTATACTAAAGAAAATCTGGCTATGCGATACTTAGATATTTCTAAAACAAACATCTGCAAAAGAACTTGTTCACAGCATCCTGAAATTTTCCTTGATCAGAAAGACAACAACAGGTAGCAGACCAGGGAACTGGTAGATTGACAAGAAGATAAAAATTCCCATTCCAGAAATGTCTACTTATCACATAGCTCAGGTGCATGGTTTTCATAATATATTCCGAAGAATAAGAAATTAAAAGATCAACAAATCCAAATATGTTCAATTAACCAAGAGACCACATTAATATGTTCCTAGCAAGTTTTAATGCACATTTTATTTTTTTCTCAGCATTACTGCAGAGAAAGTTACCTGTTTTTGGCTCCACAGAAAAGTAAGGTTGTCCTTGCAATATGCTGTAAACCACTCGAGCACTGTTGCCGTAAGTAGGATCATCTGCATCAGTGGCTGTAACTTGAACCACAGAGGTACCTGAAAAATGTTTAATGGTCTATTGTAGATAAAAGATCAAAAATGTAAACTACACTTATTCAGCATGCTGTGCCAATATATGTCTGGAACAGTGTGAGGTGGCTTTTTCACAGTTGTTCATCATTCCCATGCTGATTCAGCTTAGCGTATAAGGTCCTCTTTGTAAACCAGTAGTATCAGCTATTACAGAATTCTGTCTTCCCAAATAGTCTCAGCCTTTGTCTCACACCAATAAAAACCATCTCACTCAGCAGCTCCCTCTCTCTATATCTGCCTTTGGTTGGTGGAGGGTATGTGAACAATATTTCTTAAATTATGGTGATGCCTGAAGTATGTTTAAGTATGAAATACAGTAATAGTTTCCATCTGAAGAGAAGTCTGCATACTAAAATTGCAACGAGTAGTTAGAGATTCAAATACAGATACAAATAAAAGTATTATATATTTGGATATTTGTACACATATATATATAAATTAATTTAACCTATAAAATTATTTGCCCTTTTACAAAAAGATGGCTGAAGATTTTCTGTTCCAGTTCAGAGAAAAACTGTTGAGAGCTGTTTCTAAATTCCTTTAAAAAGTACTAATTCCTTCAATAATCTGCAGTCCTTTAGTATCAGTTATACCAACAAACTGCTGTATAAACATTTATTAAGCAAGAAATATCTCAGTGTTGATAAGAATAAGAAAGCAAAATCTCTAACTGGCTAGCAAGAAGAGCATATTTTGTGAGGATCTCACTCTGTATCCAGCTCCTATTCATTATGTTCTCCATGTCAGTTCCTATTTGTTTTGTTCTGTACAACAGCTTCTATGATGTATGCTGAGAGCTGAATAAAACAACACTTGGGAGCCAGGGCCTTGGCCATGGTCACCACCCTTTGATAGACTGGAAAGATTATTTTTTCTCACTGGCAGATTGTCTGGAACATCGAGACCTTCCATTCAACAGCCCAGGGACCCATTTGGAGGTTAGGTCACAAATTAATAATGTAGCAATTTGTCAGATGCCCAGTAAAGGTCTTCAACAGAGGATCAGATACCTTCTTAAAATGGATTTAGACACAAGATTAGAGAAAAACATTTGTTAAAGAGGATGTTCATTTTCCTAATGAACATATTTTTGACATGTGGAAATGGGAGCAGCAAGTCTAGAAATCACTTTTTAAGACAGGGTGAACTTAACATAAGTAGTATTCTGGTCAGTTTTATTTGGATTTTTTTCCAAAAAAAATGGAAATGGGTGAGAGAAAGTTCTGAAATTGTTCATGTCCCCCATCCATTTCCCTCAGCTTTCCAATTCTCAGTTGAGGATCATAAATGGATCCTGGGACCAGGCTGAAGGTTTGGAGAGAGAGAAATAAATGCAACCCTCCATAAAATGGTACAGATTACAAAGGATGGGACCTGCTTGAATTAATTCTGACCAGAAAGGTTCATTCATAAGATAACTTTATTCACTTAAATTATGGCCTAGCTAACACACGTTCCTGATCTCTCTTCCAGAGGTATCCATGACAAAGTATTATGATTGCAATTCTATTTTAAATGCAATTTTTCTCTCTTGTGGACTGCCTAATATTTTTGGACAGGAAAAAGGTTCTTCTCAACCTGAAATTTCACAGGCAACTATTAAGTAGATGGAAAGTTTAAAAAGAAAATTGGTAGTTAATCCATCAAGTCATTTATCAGTTATGGGACTTAAAATACATCAATTTTCTGTTCACTGGTAACTAAGAGCTTTGAGTCAGTATGTCAAACTGATTTTACAGATTACTCCATAATGTAATTTCATACAGGGGCTCATTTTAAACATGCTAGAGTCTCTCCAGCTTTTGAGTACAAGGGTATCATAATGACTGTTTGACATCTTGTGTTCTTTGTTAAAGCCAGGCTTACCACATTTACAAAGTCCCTAAGCCCTGCCAATGAAGCTTATAATGTCTGTAAATATTGGCAAAAGTGCTTATAAACCTCACACACAGTTACGTCTTTGCTCCTTGCTCTTACCACTTTCAAGGACTCCAGACCAATACAAGATCAAAGAAATTACAAGCTCTGCAACGTCAACACAGACATTTTGGAAATCCTGTAAGCTTAGAAGTGCTTGTTTGCTGTAAAAATCTATTGATGCAGCAAACAAAACCTCTATATTCCGTGAGATGAATAAAGTCAGTATCTGAATCTAATTGACTCTCTCCTAAAACACATAGATCCTTTAGAAAAGTTATTTTTTAAGTAGAAGTTCTAATACCAATCTTTCTGCACTCATCCAACTTGAGTGTAACAAGAAACTAAAAACCTGTGACGCTTTTCTAGTCCCTTTGTGATAATTAATTGCTCTTAAACATCAATGGACTGAAAGTTCTTTTAAAACTGCTATTGTCATTGTTTCCTTACCAGTTGCGCATAAAAACTTTGAGCTTCCAGAAGTCCCATACCAAGAGGGAGATTTCGGAACAATATTTTTTTAAAAAGAATATGCAAGCTAACATAAGGTATGTTAACTATGTGAAAAGTCCTATGTGTAAGAAATCCATTCCAAGGCAACATAATGCACAGAAAGATCAGTATGTGAAGATTTACAGAGATTTTCTCTGAGGAAGCAGATTTCTCTTGAAGAACAGAATTCCTTCAGAGGAATATCATTGCAACACAGAGCTGTCCTAATTTTTCTTGCAATGGATAGATGTCAAATTCATGCACTTATTTTCCTTTTTTAAAAACAAAATGTAAGCAATAAAGCTATATGGATACTCATGGATAGTCAATAAATCTATAGGTTGAGGAAAAATGGGTAGGTACATCATAGTTCCAACTACATCATCTTATAAAAGGAGAGTATGTGTTCCTGCACTCAAATTGTCTTCCTTTTATTCCTGAACACTTTGCCCTTCCTCATAATACAGGCAGTCAGATGTCATACATGTCCAAAAATAGGACCTAAAGGTAGCATGGGACAGTCAACAAATGGCACCATATCTTCAGTTCGTCTGAGAAAATTAGTGTTCCCATAAATCTTGTTTATGGCAGCATTCTTCAGAGCCTTAGACTCCAGGTGTAAACAGGACATTAACTCTGCCCCAGACTTTCATTACTGACTTGTTACAAGCTGTAGTTTCACAATTACAATTTTAAATATGTCTTACCGTTTGTGTATCTGAAATAGGTTGAAAAAATAAATAGGGTCTATTTACTGAAAAAGTGCCTTTCCTTCACAGATATGGATACCTCTACAATTATTTTTCTCTATAATTATGTCTTTGTAACAAAAGTTGAATATCAGTTCATTAAAAAAGATTCTACATGTAACAACTTCATAAACTTTTTCAGTAATTGCAGCAAATACTGAGGGAAAATCCATGCTTCTAATCAAATGGTGTTCCACATATTTATTTATTGAATTCTGTGTGGCTGGCACAGATTTCTGTTTGGTTTGGTTTAGTTTGTTTTCCAGAATGCTTAATCTATCATTTTTAACATAACCTTTAATAGATATTGATAGATATTACAGAATCACAGTAATCTGAGAACTTGACCTATTTAAGATCTGATATTAAGACAGAAGGAAGGGATGAATTTTTGGAGAGATGACCTTGAACTTAAGACATTATTTGCACATTAATTTACCCAAGTCAAGATTCAGCAATGTTTCTGATGTTGCAGGGATCAACCTTTTCTGCGATAGGGTCAGATAAAGGATAACTGGTGGCTGGAGTTTATTTTGATTTGGAGATCCTTTAAAGAGATTCTTTTAAAACTTTGAGTTTATTGTCTTAGAAACTTCTACACAGATCTTTTTTAAAAACTTGCTAGCAACTTCTGTGGTATTTTACCAAAGTTTTTAAATGAGTTTGTATGTGAAATGCTTGTGTGACTTCCATTTTTAATGTTAGTGAAATAATTTAAGGGGAAACTGGTTTCTAAAACTAGATGAACTTAACAAATGTTTATTTTCAAAACTGCACAAATCCTTATCAATTGAATTGTAGCAACATTAGCAAATTAAAAATAGACCTTTTAATGTAGTCAGCTATTAAAGGCAGAGACTGATATCAATTAATGATGTGTAATATGTGTAATACACAAAACAATTCCATTATGGTATCATATTTCTATGTCATAACATCTGTTACTAGAAATATTAAACACCTTTAATATCAAGTTATCCATAAAATCTGCTTAACCCTTACATGCAACTGTCCGGCCTGTTTTTTCTCCATACCATCTGGTATTTCTGTGCTTCTGCCACTGGCAGAACACCCAGAACTGATGCAGCAATTCCTCCCACAACCTTTCTCCACCAGGAGCATAAAGGGGGAGAGACAGCACAGCACCTGAAGGCAGGTTCTACCCTCTCCATCTCCTCCCTCTCTTACCACATCTTTGTTAGGTTGCCTTCACTTAGAGACAAAGCCCAAGACTGGTCTCAGCCCAGTAGAAAGGTCAGAGAAATTGAAGCAGAGGGGGCTTGCAACTGGAGAGGCACACTCTAACTTCATTCAGGTTCTCAAAACCCACTACCCACTTGTACCAAAGATTTAAGGAAGATATAATGTTTTGTTTGTTTGTTTGTTTGTTTTTTTCCTTTGGTATAAATATTAAATGTTTCTATTCAACTCAATTAGAAATAATAAATATGACCAGAAAGACATTTGTTGTGCTGGGTAATAAACAAAGCTGTTGATATGTCTAGAGAGTAAAGAAGATTAAATAAAACTAAAACTATGTTGGGTATTGGAATTTTTATCCCCAGTTCTCTTGGCTAAAATCCAAACAGATAAGTATCTCACAATAGCTATTTTGTTGATCAACATCATAGGAACACACTTTTAATACTCTTTTAACTACAGTTTGCAATCTTTTTGATTGAAATATAACACCACTTGATTTTTTAAGTAAGAGACATATTTAAAAAAAAAAAAAAAAAAGCCCTATGATTTCCAGATAAGCTATATCTTTGAGGTTTTTGTTATGAATAGATTAACAAGCCATCAAGATATTTACCCTATCCAGAATAATCAATATAGTTGGGCCTGACCCAAATATAATTTCAAACTGACCTAAAGTAATTTTAGATAACAGAAAAGATTGACTTCAATTAGCCTTAGATAATGTCCTAAAATATTTGTCAAATAAAATATAAAATCATTATACTTGCATAACCACCCTTTAAGTTAAAGGTTATAGCTCTCCTAGCTTTATAGTTAATTTGGGTTTATAATCCTATGTTCTCTTTCCTTTTGTTTAATATCCAATTAAAAATCTTTGTCATGGATATAAGTTTAAACAAAGTAGGAGAGAGATACTTTGTTTCTCCTCAATATTTCATGAATGCTCTAGGTGATTAATTAAAATTTGAGTTATAAGAATAAACTATGAATCAATGTGACTGTGTCAGACAAATGCCACACAAACATATCATGATAATCCTTAATTCAGTAACAATTCAGTATTTGGTAGTTGTGTGGTACAAACTATTAAGATGTTTAAAACGTACAATTACAGAAAATTCGTGAAGATGAAAGTGCCCTTAGTTGACACAAATTCCAGAGTGCACAAGTCTCAGTTAATGATTTTGCACAATATTCTACCTGAGTTGAATACATATTGGTGCTACAGTCGGTATGGGGGAGAATTTATTTCAGTCATTTAAATGGTAAAGATTCAACAAAATATGCAAAAGCAGCTCATTTTGAAAAATAGTCCTTATGTTCTCCACTGCAAACTGTGTACTCCCCACAGATTGATTACCAATAGGTTTTTGGAACAAATGGAACACGCGTGAGGGGTAGAGGCATGGATTTGTGTGTAGGTAAACCTCATGTATCTGTAGTACTTGTCCATATGTCAATATTCCAGTACAGGACAAGACAGAGGTAACTCATGCAAAAGGGAAATGTGGAGATATTGCTTTTCAGGGCAAAAGAAAAAGGTGCAAAAATGTAATCTGTGCTGCAGGCTACAGCCCACTTAAATAATCTAATTGTAAAATATAAAAACAAGGTTTTTTTTTAAAGATATATTTTTGTAGAACATATTTCTGAAGTGCAGAATATTTAGGTTTTACAGTCAGATTATCTGATTATCTCTGTTTTTCCAAAGTGCAGCGGTAAAAATTTCTCAGCAATGTATAACAACTTCATCTCCTACTTGATACTCCTCAAAAGCTGTGGCGTCCATCTTTATTTCCGAGGCTACTATTACCTCTTCAGCCATCCACACAGTGTTTGAGTGACAATGAACAAATGCCAAATATCAAATGAGAAATAATGCCTATGTTCACTGCTTAGTAAAATAAAGAAATAGAAAACTCATTAGCAATGTTTTACTTACCTCCTATTAGCTCCTAAACTGAGTTTCAAATGCAAAAGCAATGTTGACTAATGATTGCTGCAGGGCACTTAGGGAAGATTCTTTTACTCTCTCTAGTTCTAATTTAGAGGCACTGTTTAACATCAAAAAAACACAGGAGATGATATTGAGGAAACTATAGCAAATTCTATATGGGCAGACTTATTGTAAGAGTATCAAATTTTGATATGGTTTAAAATCAGTGAAGCAAAGAAAATCATAATTTCATTCACCATATAACTCCCTTAACTTGAAGCGAGACTTCCCATACGCATATTTCCACTGAAATAGACTAAATTCTTCTGCTTTTCTTAGCTTCGTACTTGCATTTATAATTTCAGGTTAAGTGAAAATTTACTAAAATATCTCTGGGCCAAACTGCTGTCTGGTCTGAATCAGTCGGTTTTCAAAGGAACAGTGGCACCTGACAACAGATGAGCTTTTGGTCTCTTTGAAATGGAGTGGATTTGATGCTGAAATTCATCCTGAATTCAAACTCAAGAAAAAATAACATTTCTTCTTTTCCAACAGAGGGTTTGAAGCCTCTAAAAGACATTATTTTCTGATTCCACTGGAATTTTGAAACTGTGTCAAGCTTTACTTCAGTCCCTGCTGCTTTTATATATCTTCCAGAGAGCTGGACTGCAGTATTAGAAAAGATATACAGTAAAATGTTTCTGATATATACAATGGTTACCAAAAAAATTGATACTATGCACTATCAGGAGTTTGAAGAGTTTGTTAATAATGGATTTTATCTGAACAAAATTAGATATTATTGCCTCTGAGTACCATACCATAGGTGTGAAACTTACTGTTGTTAATGAGAAGTATCAAACAAAGCCTTTGGGCACTGGAATGAGAAATACACCATAAAATGCTTCTCTGAATTCATACATAGCTATTTGAGTTTCACAACATTTTTGAAAGGGTAAATACTTAATCTAGCATGTTATTTCCAGTTAAGGCTTGAAATATCTAACTGTTGCAGGTGCCTCATAGATAATTAAGTAGTTTAGTGTGATACAGTAAAAAATAATGAAATTTTTAAAAAGGCAATAGGAACAAATTTCCCAGAACACCAACAGTGTATTTTACACTTACCCACAGGAGACATCTCCGGAACTCCAGCAGTGTAAGGACCATCCAGAAATTTTGGCTCATTGTCATTGATGTCCTGAATCTTAATGACGAATTCAGATTCTGGTTCCACGGGTTTATTAGTCAGCCTATCTAGTGCTTGTGCTCGAAGCGTGTAGTAGGCCTGCTCTTCTCGATCCAGTCTCTTTGTAGCATGAATATCCCCTGTGTTCTCATCAATAATGAAAATGGAACTTGCCCCTTCGCCTGACAAGATGTATTTGATGGAACCATCTCCTTTATCAACATCAGAGTGAAGCTGGTGAAAAATTGATGAGAGATGAGATTAACTTACAAGAGAGTCAGTGGCATGGAGATATGTAAAAATAATTCTTATGTCGAGCAGTAGTACATGAAATTTTATTGTTCTTGGAAAGATAAGCTGAATGTTTATCATGCACAGCATGTGAGGGACCATTAGAATCTGTCAACTTGCTCTTTTGAGCAAGATAATTTCATTCCTTCCTGAAAACAATCTTGTTTTCAAAACCATTTGATACTGTCTTATAGTCTTCTCATACTAGTTTTACACAGCCACAGATGTACACACATATGATTATAACTGTGACTTTATTCCTACCTGAATTAAACTACATTGTTGGTTTCAGCTTATTATTCTACTAAAGTGTGAGATTTCAAACAAAAGTCTCTATAAACTGAATGTCAGTGTGTGCTTGCTCCTGTTCTTGTATGGAAAATGACATACTGATTTTCTCAGTGTGTACTGTGTAGAGAAGTAAAACATAACAAATGAATTAAAATGGATTGGTTAATAGATTGCTCACTACTATCTGATGGGCTGGTAGCTTCACTTCCATAATGTCTTCCATTATCTAACTTCAGAAAAATGCAGAGATTGAGAAAGACCCAGAAGTGTCCTGGCACTGCCTGAACTACACAGCATAGAAAGTCAGGTGTAATTTCCCTGGGACTACTTGTAGCAGGCCCAGAACAAATGTACCTCAGCATGTCAAAATGTATCTTCCATTAGAATTGCAAGACAGATTTAGAGAAAGAAACTTTCTTCCTTATTGCACAAGCTATTTCAACTTATAGAGCAAGATTCCACATTTTGTAACTCTTTTATGTCTACTGATTCTCACCTTCCTGTTACAAAACACAGACTCAAAAAATTCTGGTATACTTTTCAAACTTTTATCAGCAATGTAATTGATATGGTTATCACATTAAAATAACAGACACATATGATACATTTAATATGGTATAAGTGAAAAGAACAACAGTAAAATTCAAAGTACTTGCTTGTTAGAAAGTGGATTATTACTTGTAAATAGCTGAGGACAATATTAAAGATGTTCAGATTCTTTATGTCTCTTGGCTACTTCATACCTGTCCCAACTCTGTGTCATATTGAGTTTGGAGGTAACTGTACTGTCATCATCGTCATCATTTTCTCCACTAACATTTTTTTTCCCTCATCTGGGAGTATCACTGAGATAGTAATCATTTCCAGAATACGTGCAGAAAATTGCTATCTCAGGCATAACTTAGCACAGCTGCAAAACCTTTTCCTATTTCAGCTGGGAAGTATTCATAATCAGTATTGAATTTTGCAGCTGGATAAAAAGCTGCCTATTTCTTACACATTATTTCACTTATACTGTCTGGATATCTCATACTTACGCAATTACAGTGCACTCCTCTCTTTTAGAACAGATCTTTGGACTGCATCACAAAACAAAGGTGTCTAAAACAGAATGGCTACATTATTTCAAAATATGTCTTATCCTTATTCTGCTGCTACCTAACTCCTGAGATACATAAACAAATCTGAGATTTCTTTGGTGGAGTTCCCCAAACATTTAAAGTCCTACTTCTCAGCACACTCAGGAATAGTCAGTGCTGACACAATGCTGACATAGATCAAGACAAAATGTATCTCACATCCAGGCTCCTTCTATATCCGCAGCACTGCATATTCCTCAGCCCTAATGGCTGGGGATTTACTCAATAAATCATACCTCTGTTCATCTCACAAATCTGATAGTTGTGGCTCTTGCTGCTTTTTCAAACTTGACTGGAAAAGTACTCATCTTTCCTACAGAGGAGCAGTACCCTGTGCAGGTAAGAATCTTTCAGGCTTGTGTTTGATTTTGTTTTCTTTTTTTTTTTTTTTTTTTTTTTTTTTTTTTTTTTTTTTTTTAATCTCTTTTCTTTTTCTAAGACCTACTTCAGGGTGCATAGGTCTCCTATGTGTTAGAGGCACTGTGTGGGTTCCCCTACATAGCCAGAATCCTACAGTCCAGGCTGAAATACTAAGCATCACATTACAGAAGATCTGAAGTTATGGGATACAAAGATTCAATGCCTTTGTCTTCCTGAAGTGATCAAGTTTTCTCCATATCCCATATTCTAGCAGAGCATTGGTCTTTCTGTGGTGGCTAAGACTCTCCCATTCTCCCTGTAAAAGTTATTCCACCTTTTGTGCTGTACTTAAGGATGTGCTGGATGAGAAAAGCAGATGACACCAGCATACCCAGGAGTTTATCAGGCAGAGAAGTCTTCTGAAGGTTAGAGATGTGCAAGTAGATCTCTTCAGGCAGAGAAAGGAAGGGATTCCATGTCTCAAATTGCTGAGAGCAACATGGAGTTCTCTCATAGGGGTGAAGCCATGTCCATCAGCACACCAGAGCACAGCACTCACACCGGGGTCTCATGGTGAAGGGCTACACAGCCTCTCTTTCACCTTGTATTTATATCCAACTTTGTCCTAAATAACTTTGTAACAGTGTTTTGAAATAAAAGAGACCTTCAGGGGAGAGGCCAGAAGTGTAAAACCTCAAAGATGCAGTGAGTAAGGCTTTCACATCCCAGAGAAAGAAGAAATTTTGTAGCTTCAGCATTTCCCATTTACTCACTCAGTGGCCTACTGATTAACACATTGTTTTTTAAGAAGTCCCACTCTGAGGTCCATAAATCTCCTCATGGATCAAACTACAGTGGCTGGTGCCCTGGAGTGAATTGCTGAATAGAAACCACTTTTTGGAATGATGCCTTGGTAGAAAACTACTACCACACAGATTAGTAAAGTGATTAGTGCTGACCTTTGCCTCTCCAAGGTCGAGGCTCTGGAAGAGCAAAGTTACTTAAACCTTTTATTAAAACTTTGTTCTACTAAGCCTTTAGAAAACAGTGTTGGCCCATACTTAAGTTAGTAAAGCACCATTTTCTACTTAAACCCAGGAAGTTGATATAGCTCAAGATTTTAGTTTATCTGTGGAACTATAGTACAATCAGTTCTGTGTAAAGCACTCTAAAGAACGTTTTCCAACAATTTTATGTGTATTTTAGTGTCAGTCTGAGATAACTTAAAAGTACAATGCAAGAGAACAATGTAAAAATAAACTCAGTTGACAGAATCCAGATGTATGTTTGGCGCAGTTTTCAGATCACCTTTATAATCCTTCCAAGCAGTGATCTTCAAAGTCATTCATGTAGAGGCAGCAGTGATTTGTAACTAAGAACAAAATTTTTGAATGCAGCAGTCCTGTATATTTACAGCTCTGCTGCTACCAAAACTGATTTCAAATTATCTGTACTTCTAGCTCTTTTCCTTATAATGTTGGCTTTAGAAAACAATTGCATGGGGTTTTTTGTTGTTTAGGGAGTTTTGGTTTGGTTTGGGTTTTTTCCCTTAAGTAGTACACTTAAGAATGAGACCTTGTGATTAATTTGTCAACAATTTTATAGAATTATATTAGTCCTCAGAACAGTTATATTTTACAGGAAGCCTCCAGAAAGCATCTATGGTGGTGTTATCTACTAGCTTGTCTATCACTCCTCCCACTTTCTACAGAGACATTCATGTAGGAGACAGAACTGTAGCTCAGTCTGTAGCTGCACATGGGAACTATGACTTTAGAAATAGAGAGGATCAAGACAAAAGCAGTTTCAAATTCTTGCTTCAAGAAACATGGAGGATTCAAGGATTCACTGGGTATATCTCATCCGATCCCATTCTGGAACATCACAGACAAATATTCTTTCAGTAGTTTGCAATAGAAATTGTAAATAAATTTTCTCCCTCTGTTTTCTGAAAGAGGAATTATATAGACAAAGATGGTTGCATACTTCCAATTCATTTCGTTCATTGCCTCCTCCATGCAATATCCATGATAGTCACTCTGCAGTTTGCCTTGGCTTTCAAGTAACCTTATTTCCAGCATGAGATTCATGATCCAATTATTATATGCTGATCCTATTGTTTCTTTGTTACATGTCACAGATTTAACCTGAAGATTTTAAGAGTTTTGGTGTTTAAATGTTTTGATGGTTTTGGTCTTTTAAGAGTTGCGGCTTCCCCATCTTACACCATCAACAAGAAAGAGTACATGAGAACAGAAAAGTGAAGCAGTAAATTTCTGCAGGGAGATGATACACTTTTAACAGAGGGTAGCTTCTAATGTTCTAGGAGAGTTAGCAGAGTTAACAAATCTAAAAACAAAAGCCACACAAGCCTTGTGAAAGCAGAGAGGGGCAGTGCGTATAAGTGCATTTATTGTTTTTTTTAAAGATAATTTACTGAACGTCCTCTACTGTCTCTGAACTCTACCTAAAAAGAGGGCACTCATATCTTAAGCTCAACTCCTAAGACTCCCCTCAGTTTTAGAAAATTCTTGTTTGTCTATGTGTGAGAGAAGGAAGCAGTCAGCTTCATTCAGTAGCAAAGCCACTATTACCTTAACTCCTTTAATGAATGCAATTTTGTCCTCACATTTTTTGGCCCTGCAGCAATATAGCTTAGTATAAGGTCTTGCCTAATGCTTCTATATTTATGTGGCCCCTTAAAATGATGATTATTCTAGGTAAACCTAAATAATACATTTCCTTCAACTTTCCTCATACTCAATAATTTCTGAATTTTTTCTCATTGAGGGTACAGACCTGTACAAAGATGACACCATTTTGTGTCACTTGCCATTAAAGTATGCTAATGCAGTATTTTCAATAGAGAAGGACATTTATTTTTATCAGCAAGCGGAGATACTGCACTGCTTTAAAAGTGTTTTTTTCTGGCCACAACCAACCTGTTTGAGGCCCGAATGAGAAGTCTGTTATTTCAATGATTTTCAGTTCAGGCTCCTGTAAAGCAGGTGCAATGTTCATATACCTCTCTTGTCTGTTTTTCCTTCCCCAAAGATTTATCTTTGCAGTGGTTCCTCCCTGTGGAAGCATGGCTAATATTTTATTGCAGAGTTTACAGACTGAGGGTGCAGAAGAAAAGCATGGGGAGAACCT